AAAAAAAAACTGGGCTCTTCGTTTGACATGAGGTATGTTTGGCTTATCCCACTTAACACAAGTAATCAAAGCCCTAATTTCACCAGATTAGTTTATGTTTTCTTTTATCTACCACAGTAATGCTATCCGGTAGGTCACGGTGTTGAAGAAACGCAATTTCCGGACAGATTTTTCTTCCAAAGTAAATACTGTCCCACTTAGGCCATTCAATCCAGGTGTAGTAGATCACGTAACTAGACACAACTTTAGCACTGACCAGAGTCTGACGAACAGGTCATACACTAATCTAATCTAAATCTTCGAAATAACGACTTCAAACTGTAGAAAATCTCAAAAGAAACATCAGGAGCCCATTACCCTGGAAACACAGGAAAACCAAAAGAATCACGGGTGGGCAAAAGCTAGCTCAAATAAACTTGAAAAACATCGCCCACGTTAATTATAAGTTAAACATCATGTACAGTGCTAGGAAATTATCCGTGATTCTGCCAACTGACTGCATCCGGCTTTGCGAACTTTTGAAGTTAAGTTTATGGCTTGATAAACTTCATAAATAAATCCTCGGTGTTTAGCCTCAGGGCTTGGGTAAGGTTAGGTTAGGGTTATTTAGCTCCTCCTAGAGTTATTTAGAACCACGAACGAAATACAGACAGTGGAATTTTCGGACCGTAATTATAAACTTTTTGCGCTCAGGTTTTGGCTTGAAATGTAAGGCGCAGTGAAATGGCCCTGCTAGGATAATTGGCAATGAAACAGGGACACAGAAGAAAGGAAAAAATGAAAGAGAAAACCACAGAATCTCCTCCCATATACAATCCTCTATGAGTAAATAAATACATCGATCTTTCAGATCCAAACTTTCGCTTCGGTCGGCACAGTTAACATGCAGCAAAAGGCTTCAGTAAAAAAGGAACATGTGTCCTTGAATGGAAAAGTAGTTGGTTTGATCATGAATACAGGGTTTGGCCGATAGGACGGAAATTTGCGTGGACCTTTCGCCACGATCTAATTGCTCTCTCGCCGGGCCGCTAGAAAATGGACGGAAATTTAATCTTGGGTCCACAATTCGTCAAACAATAACAGCGTATTCAATCGTACAAAATAGCAGGTGCCCTTTCTATATCTCTTTCAAAAAAAATCAACAACGGCATATTTTGCATGTGTTGTATGAACGAGACTTAATTCACACAATCGTAGCCAACTAAAGGTGACATTATATAATCGTACATAATCGATCGTGCACAAACCTAGATCTTATATATGCAAGGATATCGATTCTGACATCCAAAAGTCTTTTTCATCTTCACCACTAATACTCTAACAAAGGGCAATCAACACATACAAAAACTGAAATCCCAGAATAGTGCACTGCCTCGCTAAGGCTCGCCAGCAATTCAAACACTGTCCTTTGTGACCAGTACTACGGACAAAGGCCGTTATGCACTGAAGTTTACCCGGCCCTCTGCAGTGAAGGCTGAGCCCAACTAATTACAACACTTGAGATGAAACTAGATAAGACAGCATCTACGCATGTCGTGTAAAATCACGAAGGCAAAGTGCAAATTTGACGATGCACTGCACGGAAACGAAAACAAGCTACACTTACCTAATGTTCACTTGAGTCCGTGAGAGA